TTCACTTCCATAAGATTTTGAGTTTTAAATTTTCTCCTCCTACACTCTTCTTCCCCCCCTCCCACTCCTCTGGATGGTATGCAATCTGATATAGGCTCTGCTTATACTTTCATATTAAGCATATTTTCCCATTAGTCATGACGTAAAGAACGATTAGAACTAATGGGAGGAACCATGAGAATGAAGCAATAAAACAAAACAACAGAGGAAAAGGGGAGAAAATAGTATGCTTCTATCTGCATTCAGATTCCATAGTTCTGATTTTTTTAGTTATTGTTGTTATTTTTTTTTTTGCTAAGTGGATTTTTTAAAAAAACAGCTTTAAATAACGTTTTGTTCCTATTGCACTTTTAGGTTTTACTTCATATTGTTACCTGCTTGGGTCTTTAGTGAAAAAAAAATACTAAGTTATTTTAATTTAGCTAATTCAAAGTTCATGTTTGTTCTGGTCTATTGCTATAAGAATTGTGATTATTTATATTATTACACCATACTAGTAATAGAACAAGCAGGAAGAATAGGAGTGCCTAAGCCAATGTGTTTTTGTAAAGTGTAGGTAGTACTTGTGAAATGTGGGTGGTTGACCTATAGATGTATTTTTTTTTAAATCTAGCTGTGGGAATGACCTACTTAAATACAATCAGACTGTATATAGGTAGGTAAAATGTTACAGGCCTTAGAAGTGGGTAAAGTCAAAACTTCCAGTGCTGAGAAATATCATTATTCATTACAACTCTCCTCATGTTTCTTGGACCAGCAGGAATTTCTTTTTCTATTAACTTCACACCAAAATATCTAAGTATCAATGATGATGAAAAACACAAGACAGTCTATTCATGGCAAGAAATTTGCATCCCAACATAGTATTCCTGAACTGAAATATTTCTATCAATTGGACTCCTTAAGATGTTGCTGTTGGGTTGACAATATATTACAGTATGATGAATGTTCATAAAGCAATCAATTAACTACAGCTAAAAACTTTTAAATTGAAATAATTATTATTTTATTTTGAATTTTCATATACATGTGTTCTTACACTACAGGGCAGCTGATGTTTCATAGTAGGTTGTTAGCCCATTATTATGCAAAAAGATGTATATAATATGATGGTAGCTTCAAAGAAAGATTAAATATTGATCTATCTCAAGTTGTTAGGTAAAGCTTTTCTTTATTTGATGACTATGTAAGTGTCATTTTCAGTCAGATAATTATAATAAATGAGAAATAAAGCAAAGTTTCTAAAACATGATAATTTGGAACAGTTCAAATGAATTTTCTGTTTATATGGGCTCATAATTCTTTCCATCAATATGAGATGTTGCGTTTCATCATTGTTTTATAAGACAGTCCATTTAGTTGGTCATTTGACATCACATTCAAATTTGTGTACCACATTTGGATGATGTTGAGAGTTCTTTGTTGTTTTGGAAGGCGTTGTGATACCCAACTTACTAAAGTAATATTTGGGCTGCTGCATAGAGAAATTATATCAAAACTTGGGTCACTGTACTCTAATCAATAAATGGATAGAAGGCAGGCCATGAAAGCTAACATACAAACAGTAATTTTTTTTTTCAGCCAAAGACAAGGTTTATTAGACCATCCATCTTATTAGGCAGAGTCTTAAGGAGTCTGAACATTAGTGAGCTATTGCCTAGATTTTAAGATTCTGAGCATCTTAATGGAGGCAAGATGGACCTTATATACAGAAAGACTATAGGAAGGATCTAGGAATAGCCAAGTAGTCTATGAGGTAAAAGAACTCCAGGGATCCCAAGAGAGAATGGAGCCTAGATAGGATTAAGGGTGGGAAGTGGCCTGGGGCCATAGGGAGATATAGGCTAGGTTAAGGGTAACAGAGAATTGGGAGCTTGGGTGTAGCCACAATGAAAGACCAGTTGATAGGACTGGCCTCAGACTGAGGCCAATTTGGCCGTGTGGGAAAGAGCAGGGTTTTTCCCTTTTGGGGTCTAGATCCCATCCTCATCATTTCCCCTACAAACAAATGGAACCCAAATTCTTTCGGGGTAAGGAGTGAAGGTCTTGGCTTCTGAAACTGCTTCCTGCTGGCAAGGGGTGTAGAGTTGTTCCTGCCTCAAAAGGGTCCCAAAGAGGAGGTTGACTGGAACCAAGCACAGGCTGCATCCAGGGAACAGTGGGGGGACACTGGCTGGTACCCACTGTTTGCTACCCACTGCAGGTGAATGGCCTGTGGTCTGGAAGACACAAATCTGACAGAAAAGACTGCAGGGCCCAGATGTAAAGCAGGGACTAGATTTAGGGCCCAAATATGAGAGGATAAACCATCCTTAGCTCTGTTTGGATTCAGATAATTCAGTTTTCCAACCATGCAATATCAAATCCACCTCATAGCCAGACTTAGGAATAGCCAGGTAGGTAACATTCCCTTTCAAAGGAACATAATGGGGAAACTGAACCAGGAGGATCTCATCTTAGACTAAGGCTAAAATTGTCCTCTCAGCTTTTCCCATTGCTGACTTCCCATCATTTTCACATTGTCTGAGTAGCTTGTTGCATTTGTCTCAGATGGTGGATTATTGATTATCAATAGATTATTATGATCCATCAGTCAACTCAAAATAAGATCCTATGAGCTTTGCCTCACACAGCACATTTGACTAATCACAGCTTAGGAAAACTTTTCCAGGATTTACATCTCAAACTTAAATTTGTCCTGGTGTAAAAAGCCAATCATTAGAGATTTCTATACACTTGCAAAGTCTCAGCAAGCCATAACCCAAACAAGCTTTTTGGCTAGTTTACACATTAAAACAATAACCAGCAAGAACCAAATTATTTTAGTCATAACCAAATTATGAAAAGTTGCTTGACATAACTGATGCAAAAAGTTCACCAATTTGAAACTTGAAACAAACCTATTACCAATCACGTGACTTCAATTTTGTTAAATTCATTTCCAAATGATTTTACAGAAAGAATCAACATCTCATCATTAACAGTTATAACTACAAATTTAAGAGAGCATACAAGTTCACAGGCTAGCTGAAATTGGGTGATGCTTCCAGGCAAAGGTTGCCCTTCATTGCCAGGGGGGCCCACACTGCAGCTGCTGCCTCTTCCCCCTCCTTCCTTTCCCAGGTTGGGGATGGTGAAATCAAAGGTGAGGGGTAAAGGGTGAAACTCTCTTCTCCTATGAGAGGGGTTAACAGACACCCTCTTGACTCAAGAGAAGGGAGTGGGAGAAAGGAGTGACCAGGGTTGTAAGGAGGAGTTTCAAAACTCCTTAATGATCAATCACAAAAACCTCCAGCATCTGCCAAGATATTTTTAGCTGTTTTAACTTTTCCCTGTAACCTCCATGAAGGAGGATTCAGGAGTATAGAGGGAAGGGAGTGAGCCTCAGGGAACCAAAAAGCAACTGCAATTTTCCCCAATTCCCTGGGGCTGAGAGAATTTACAGAATCGTGCATTTCCAGATATGGAGTCCATCCTTGTCCTCCATGCTGTGGAAGGTGTACCCAGGTCCATGGCCTCGAACTGAACCAGTGGACCAAAAGCATGAGAGCATCAGGCCAAGTGCGAGACAGCCTTGTAAAAAGCACCTCTAAGCCTTGGTGCTTGGAGAGCCACCCCAACTACAGAGCAAGAAGGGAGAGGGGAGGCTCACATACCTTGCAGTTTTGGCTGGAGAAGAACTTGGGGTTAGGCAGTTTCCCTGTATAGGCTACCAAAATGTTGAGGTTTGGGGTGCTGGGACCCCAAAACCACAACATACCGGTCCTGTCTAAAAGACTTTGACCCAAGCCTTCCTTAAGACAAGAACATCCCTTATATTGGGCAGACTCTCAAGGAGTCCAAACACTAGTGAGCTATTGGCTAGATTTTAAGAATCTGAGCCCAAGCAATAATTTTTTGAGCAAGTTTTTTGCAACTTTTAGCAAGAAGGTAACAGCTGACATCTCAGTGTATTGGGATATTACAGATGCTATTTTTTCAATGAGTCATCACACCAAAAATCTGATCCTACAAGGAATTATTTCAGGCCCTCATCCCTCTTCCCTCCTCTTTTTATTCCTCCTTGGGTGCAGAATATGATTTCCACCTTACCTAATTTCACCCTTGTTATTTTTTTATTTGATATTTTACAATATTTCCCACCTAAGCATTTGTGTACTAGAAGAAAACTGCATCAGAAGTCATCAGTTCTGCTTCATAGGCAGCTAGCAATAACTTGACCACAAATTGCCCATTGATAGCATAAAGAAAACATTATATAGATATAGACTGCTCTTGAATATTACTGAGGAGTGTGACATAAAGCAAGATGAACCCTAGTGATAAACATTAGGATGGTGTCCTTTATAGGTTACATGATGGTATAATTCAATCCTAAAATCACATTATATATGGAAATATCAACAGGGGTTTTCTAATTGTCCTATATTTTTATTTAGAATGATTAGCAGCTTTTAAAATTGCAATGGAATACCCTTTAAAGAATGTTCTTTGTATTGCTCATAGATTAACAGCTAGTAAGGTAATACTAGAAATAAATATGCAAAAGGGGCCTGATTTTTATGCAAGTTAGGAAAATATATAAGTCCCATTATTTCCCATTTGAAAACACAAAATTTGTTATGAAATGTATATTCTCTATGGAAAAAATACTTAGATTCAAATCTTGTCTTTGATAATTACTAGATTTATAATTCTGGTCAAGACACCTTCTCTCTCTGTTCTTCAGAGTTTTTTTTTAACCTGTAAAAGGAGGAGGTTGGTATTGTTGACATCTAAAAACACTTATGGGTCTAAATTAATTATTGTATGATAATTGAAATTATTATATTAATAATGTCTCCAGAATTCTTGGAAAAACCAAAAATTCTTCTATAGAATATCCTATTTACCAAAATACTATTAATAATAATGTTAATAAAAAAGAAAAGAAATAAAATGAAGAAAAATTTTACATTACCACATTGTGAGGCTTATTATAAACTATGTTTGCTTTTCAGATCCCCAGCTCAAGGGTATAGTGACCAGGTTATATTGCAGGCAAGGATACTACTTGCAAATGCACCCCGATGGAGCTCTTGACGGAACCAAGGATGACAGCAGTAATTCTAGTAAGTGAAAATTGTAGGAAATTGACTTGCCACAGCTTGTAGACATTATCATTTAACTACAGAGATGCAGCTTTCTTTAAATATTTTTTTATTTAGATATATTGGGCTATGTCAATTACCTTCACAAATTGGTTTCCTATTAGTATGTATTTTGTTATTTTCCTAAAATTAGAAGAAAATAATATAGAAAGATAATATAATATCTACAACTTGAGAAGAGATGGAAATGTTTGATTTTTTTTTACTCAGATAATTGGTACTTCCAGCATAAAATGACTACTCATTTCATTTTCAGAAGGAACAAATTTACTAATATAACCATTCCAAATTATGTGGCTTTTAATTCATTATTTCTTCTTGGCCAATAATTTGCAGATATTCTTGGAGATCTAAAGGACAAAAAAACCCCCAACAACTGTCACTGAGCTCCTATTTTATATACCTCCTTTTTGTGTTGTGTGAATTTGCAAGAATCATTTCTTCACTTTCTTGGTCTATGGCAATTATTTCTTTATTCACTACATGGGATAATGAATTCTGAAAAAATATTAAAGCACAATATTGGTGTTAGTTATTTTTGTTACTTAGTATATTTTCCTTTATCTCCTGGTTAATTTTCCTACATCTTTCTCTATTTAAATTTATTTTGTTGAAAAGCCTCTTCTGACACGACCACCTTCCCTCTTTTATCCTATTCTTTTCTTTTTATAACTTACATATCCATTTTCTTAACTCTTCTATCTCTTGTTAGATGATAGGAAAATTGAAGAACTGCTGAAATAGGAAGAAAGAAAGAGATTTTCATTATATTTCATGTTTCAGTCATGCTCATTTTTCTGTCACAGTTTTTCATTCCACGCCCCCAAGTATATATATTTGTGTGTGTGCACATATATTTTATCATTTTCTCCATATTCTATCTATGCTCTTCATATTCCTTTTTTGAAGGAAGCAAACTGTCTTTTCTTATAGCTGACTGCCTCAGACACCATTCAGTTTTAGCACTTGCATCTGCTTGGCTTTCTTCTAAAATCTTTAATTTCTACAATGTCTCTTGGAGAATGTCCAAAGTATTTTTGAAGAGCAGTGTGGATAATGTGACTAGTTAGTTTTCCATGACTATGGTAAATATATGAGTTTACAGGATGAGAACTTCTGGAAACTCCAGAGCTTTGATACTAAATTTATTGGATCCTCTTCAATCTGTCATTCTTTACATAGCAGAGTAATTACCTATATGATATAAGCCATATCCACTGGCAAATCTTACAGGCATGTCCAGTACATGGATATACTGTTAGGATTCCTAGAAGGACCAATTTACCCCAAATGACCAAATACTACAAAGTGATTTCTGTCAATTTTCTAATTTCACTAAGATAGGCTAAATGATTATAATATTGCTAATTTATAAAGCAGGTATTGATGCAATAGTCATCAAAAAGCAGAAGGACAAAGGAGTAGAATGATTCAGATTTCTCCCAAACTTGGTTGTTTTTAACTGAAATAATTCGAGATACAATAATATGTATTTATTCATATGAATTTAAAATAATAATATTATGGTTCCTGTTTCTCATACTAGTACTTGAAGTTGATAGTAGAAGAATAGGAACTTTGGGGATAAGCATGGTGGCCCCTTTTCCAAGTGTTATATCTTGGCCATTTTATGAGTGACATTTTGGACCTGGTGGCCCCAATATTTCCTGAAAGGCTTATAGAGCATAACATTAAGAGACAGGAGAAAATTAAGAGTTCTGATGAAAGAATATATAGTAATGACAAAATAAAATCCCACTAGGAGTTCCATAGAAAGCACCATTCTTAGGTGGTCTGGTATTAGCCTTTGCTACATCTGTATGTGTCTCTGTCTCTGCATCTCTCTATCTGTCTCTCTGTCTCTCTCTGTTTTTTGCTTCCTCCTCTGCCATGAAAAGCTCTTTGAAAGCTGCTAGTGTTGCCATCTCACATGTAACAGGGTTTTATGTGGTTTATATGTCAATTTTATACATCAGAAAGATCTCTAAAGCAGCAGGTAGCCTTTTCTGACACCATTCATTGACAGAACCTTGAGAAAGATCTGGGTAAGCCAGCTTTTAGTTAAAGTTACCTAATCTAAGTTTAAAATCCTCTATCCTTGGTCAGATTTCTTATAATCTTTTTATTCATCTTGTTTAACATATCAAAAGGGCCAGTGAGATGTGGTGGGGATAGTATGAAGGATTTTATATAGATATATATATTATTCCAAAAATCTTAGAGTAGTTTTAAGCTTTAATAGCTCAAAACTGTACTAAGCTTTGAAAAGTCTTGGGTAAGTATGTGTTTATACATACATACATATACATATAGATACATATATATGTATATATATATATACATATATATATACACACACACACACGCACACAAATATGTTAAGTCATACACAAACTCATATATGATTTTCTTTATACTATTTTAATTTTTCCAATTACAGGTAAAGATAGTTTTCAACATTCTTTTTTTATAAGATTTTGAGCTCCAAATTTTTCTCCCTCTCTCCTTCCCTCCCCTCACTCCTCTCCAAGATGACAAGAAATCAGATATGTATAATCATGTTAAACATAGTTCCATATTAGTCATGTTGTAAAAGAAGAATCAGAACAAAAGGGAAAAATCACAAGAAAGAAAAAAAATGAAACAAAGTGAAAATAGTATGCTTCAATCTTCATTCAGGCTCCATAGTTCTTTCTCTGGATGTGGATAGCATCTTCCATTATGAGTCCTTTGGAATTGTCTTGGATCATTGTATTGCTGAGAAGAGCTACGTCAATCATAGTTGATGACCACACAATGTTGCTGTTACTGCGTATAACAATCTCCTGGTTTTGCTCACTTCACTCAGCATCAGTTCGTGAAAATCTTTCTCAGTTTTCCTGAAATCTGCCTGTTCTTTATTTCTTATAGTACAATAGTATTCCATTTATATTCATATACCACAACTTATTCAACCATTCACGAATGATGGACATTCCCTCAATTTTGAATTCTTTGCCACCACAAAAAAGAGCTGCTTTAAATATTTTTGAACATGTAGGTCCTTTTTTTATTTCTTTTTTTATGATCTCTTTGGGATATAGACTTAGTAGTGGCATTGCTGGATCAAAGGGTATGTATAGTTTTATAGCCCTTTGAGCATAGCTCCAAACTGCTGTCCAAAATGAGTTCACAGTTCCACTAATAATGCATTAACGTACCAATTTTCCTACATCTTCTCCAACATTTATAATTTTCTTTTTCTGTCATATTAGCCAATCTCATAGGTGTGAGGTATTACCTCAGAGTAAAACATATATATTCTAAGAAATGCATTTTAATTTAGAGAGGGAAAACCTGAAGATATATCCTCTTATTTTCCAGCATTATCTTTATCACTGACTTTCCAGGATTTTCTTCATACCTTCTAATATGGCAGATACTCAGATGGTAGTTGTGCTGCTGTTTTGGAGCTGTGTCCTGCTATGGACACAGTATTTGTAGGGATAGAACAGGGAAAAATTAATACAGAAAACAATTACATTATCATATCTGCAAGAGAGTTTGGTGAAGGTTGGATAAGTATGAAATTTTTTTAAAAAATTGTTTGTTAGGGTCAAGGAGTAAAAGCCAGAAAAATTGGAAAATATCTACCCATTTACATACTCTGATTTTTTGAAATAAGCAAAAATAATTTCTTTGAAAATATTTAAAGTCCTACTTGTTTTCTGACACATATAGAAACCTTAAGAAGAAAAGGTGATTTTTTTTTTTAAAAAAGGCTGAATTCTCTTCTTTAACAAATTAAGACCATGTGTTACAAGTAAACTTAAATAGTTCACCATGCTTCTAGAGGACAGCAATTCAAAATGATGTACTTTTTCAACAATTCACAGAGTATACTATAGCTTAATGGCCATCCACAAATAGCTAGAATCATAAGAATTCTAATTAAGTCACAAAGGCAGCTAGGTGGTACAGTGAATAGAGTGCTGAGCTTGGAGTCAGGAAGACTCATCTTCCTGAGTTCAAATTCTGCCTCAGACTGAGCAAATTACTTCACCCTGTTTGCCTCAGTTCCTCATCTTTCAAATGATCTGGAGAAGAAAATGGCAAACCACTCCAGAATCTTTATTAAGAAACCCCCAAACAAGTTCACAAAGAATCAGACATGACTGAAAAATGATTAAATAACTGATAGTCACTAGTTCATTAGTGAACAAGTCAGTCAACAAGCATTTTTAAGTGATTACTTTATACTCGGTTTTATGCTAAAGGGAATTTTTTTTTCAAAAATCATGATCTTTAAAATATTGCTTGCTACTGAAACCAATTTGAATTAACCAAAATGTCCCCAAGAAACATTATTAACCATTATTGTTTAATCAAAGGCATATTTAATAAGAAATAGTTCAATGTGTCAGATAGAGGGTTGGCTTCAAAGCCTAGACGACCTGAGTTTATGTTCTGTCTCTGATGTACACTAGCTCTGGTATCCTGGACATGTAGTGATTCTCTTAACTTGAACCCTTCTGAGCCTCATCTCTACCATTTATGGCTTGGACTTATAGTTGGGGATTTGAATGAATGGAGCTGATGGAGGTGATCTTTTAAGGAGACAATCCACTCAAAGATAATTGACTTTTAACCCTTCTTTTAAAAGAGAAATATCAGTAAGTTGACAAATTATAAATGAATCAGTTCTGTACACTAAACCTCTAAAATCCCTAAGGGACTCTGTAAGATAAGTTCCTTATATGGCTTCATTACTTTTTTCCCATGCCAGGCACAATGGGAAGGGACACTTTTTTAAGGGCTTTGAAATATTTCTTGCAGTTTCACAGTGACACATCAGCTTTGAGAACAGTGACCAGAAGTCATTCAATACTAGCACTCGATTTCTAAAATTTTCCTGGGGAAGTTTAGTAGCATAGAGCAGAGCAGACCAGGCCAATTGACTGAATTTGTTTGTGAGTGCATGG